TGCACAAGATTTTCTGACTCTTTGGGTGTCCCAATTCTCCTGTGAATTTAGCTGTCCTTTGAGTGTAAAGACTAGATTAAGCTGGGGCTAAGGGCTTGAGCTGCAGTGGCATGTGTTGTGAGGCTTTTAGGGATCACTTCTTTTTCATACCATTTGCTCGTGCATTGGCAGCTAAATGCTCCAAAACCTCGAGCTTTGTCCCAGGTAAGTACCATTACTTGGTAAAAGTAGAGGATGAGAATCGATAGAAAGGTTAAAAAGCCTCTTCAGAGTCCCTGACCCCTCCAGTTAACTATGGTGCCAGCAGCCTTGCAATGAAATTCAAGCTCTGCTGTTGTGCTGAGCTCAGGATTAACTGTGATTCCTGATGAGTGGGACACTTCATATAAGTCTGGTGTATTTATTGCAAGGCTTTGTCTTTCATAGCTCCAAAGCAATTATCTGGTATTTACAGCCTGCTCATAGCTGGGTGCAGTACTCAGGTAGTTACTACACAGCTTCGTGCTGGAGCCAGCCACTGAGCACTGAAATTTGCTTTTACCCTTTGCTGTAGCCATGGGCTCTGGCAAAGGAAACCTTTGCTGCTGGTGGGGGCTTCTGAGCAGTATTTAAACATCTTTTGAACTTGAGTTTTCTTTTTAAACAAGAGTTTGAAGTGGATTTTTAACCACTGCTCCTCAATTATGGATTACTTTTGGCCTGCTCCTGCTCCCTGTGGGTACTGGGTCATTGCTGGGGATCTGAACACAAGCAGGAAATGTTGGGGAGCTAGTGACAGAGAGATCAGAGCTGGTTTAGTGTGATGTCTGAGCAATTGCTGGTTTCCATTCTGCTGGACACGTGCTCTGAGCTCGGGGTTTGTCCTTGCTGTGCTTTAGTGGTGATTTTGCAAAGAGCAGAACCCTGAGGCAGCCTGGCTGCAGCTCCCGGGCCCTGCTGCCTGCAGGTTACCCTTGCTATTGCACAAGGGTGTTTATGTAAAGGTGATGCCTGGGACTGTTTCCATCTCCAGGCTGGCACTGTGCTCGCTTGAAATTTAAATCAGCCTTGGTTTGGCAGGTGAGAATGGAACAGGCTGGGCAAAGGTGCTGCCAGGAGGCTGCCAGGGGATCATGGCCTGGCACAGGTGACACCTCTGACTGCCTGGTGACCTTGAAACTGAGCTGCTGCCAGGGCAAGGTGGCAGCGGGGTGACAGGGGGGTGGCCATGGAACATTGGGCGGGTGGGAAGTCAGTGAGACAGCAGGGAAGCTCTAACAGGAGCAGGGAGCAAGGGAGAGCCTTGCTTTACTCATGGCTCAGCAAATGTGCGAGATCCCAGCCACAGTTCCACTCTGTTGTTCAGAGAGGTACCTGTGTTTTCTAACTTCTCCTTGTAGCACAGTTGAGAAGGGTCAAAAGTGAAACTGAGACTGTTTTCTTCTATTCCCTGAATTACATCAACTACATCCAGAAACTCATGAGCTTGTTTGTGATTTTGCCTAGGAACTTGGATGGATTGGGAGACTGGGGTGATGACAAAGTTACTGCTGGAAAATTAAAGCAGGGAAATTCAGTGCTTGCTGCCTTGGCTCTTAATCCCTGCCAAAAGGTGCAATATCCATTTGACTTCTGACAGAGTAGCTGGTTCTGCACGAGGGCACCAGCACACGGAGATGCCCCAGAGAGGGGGAAGCCTGGGTCAGCACCACGTGCCCAGAAAGTCATTTGCAAAGTGAGCTGGTCAGGAGAAGGCAGCCTCCAGGCAGGACAGAGAGGGCTAAGCTGTGGGTGAGGTGCCTGCTACATCCCTCCTGAGGCATAACAAAGGCAGCTGAGATTGCCTTGCATCAGCCCTCCAGCTGTAGGCAGGCACAGGAGGGAGAGCTGCAGCACGGGAGCAGAGCAGACAGCACAGACAGTACTGAGAACACAACAGCCCAGGCTGATACTCTGCAAGTCACCTCCCACTCCATTCACACCAAAAGCAGTGTTTTACTCTAAAGCACAAGTGTGCCTACTCAAGAGGATTCAGCTGTTGCCTTTGTATTACAAAGTAAAGAACATGGCCAGCAAACCCCCCACATAACCTCATTCTCTCCCACCACCCTGGAAGTGAAGAGGCATCTGCACTGCAGGGATGAAGAGCATTTCCAAAGACAGCAAAGACATGGATTTGCAGTGAGGAGCTGGTGCTTCAGGTTATGAAACACAGAAAGGGTGATGTGTCTCACTCGCCTCTCCCAGCCTGGCCCTGCAGGAGTGGCTGTGGTCCTGTGAGCATCCCAGGAGCACAGAGCCCAGCTGAACCCTGCCTAACCCAGCTGAACCAGGGATGCTGCAGCAACTGGGCTTATCCTGATCAGCTGTGGCCACTTGCAGTGACACCACTTCCAGGCAGGATGTGATCCTGAGAGGAGGATGAGGCCCTATCTGGTTTCAAATACACTTTTTGACCACAAAACCTTGTTAGGCTCCTCAACTAATGCAAAATATTCTGCAGTTCATGAGCTGTCATGCTATTGCACAGATTAAATTGGCTTCCAGTTAACTGTTCAGTCTATTAGAAGCAGATATTGAAGGTGAAGGAGATTCCAGTGCCCAAAAATCCCCCAGCACTAATTACATGCAACTCACTCATTTACATTTGCAAATGTTGTAACAAATAGCCATTAGTCGACCAGTAATCTCTTTTTAATATGCTTTTTAAAAAGCAGGATCCTTCTGGAGGAGCCAAAGCATGGAGCTAGACTGAGCAGAGACAAGAAGGACAGCTTGGGAAGAGAAGTGGGTGCTTGCACTTGGGAAGCTCTTTTGGCTGGGACTCATTGCCTTTCCATCAGTCATTTACAAGTATCAATAGAGGATGCAAAACAGACAGACAGACAACAAACTCTGCAAAATAGGTTTATTTTAAAATTTGAACCAAATAGAGTTTGCATTTATTGCATAAATCACATGCAGGTGAATACTATAAAAATACCTGTGCAGCATTTATATATAATTTATAAAATCTTCATAGCATAAAATAGCTGTGAATCAGAACAGAAATTTTACACATAAAGCTGCATGAATGTCCCTGTCAAAGTGTGCCTTTCTTGGGAGTAATTCCAATCCCCAGCTTAAATGCTCACCTTGCTGCCAAGTTTTTTCCCAGTTTTGTGATGTGGCCCCTCTGCAGGGCTCCAGTTGTGCACTGCACCTGTGTGTCATGCAGCTCTCTTAGCACAAGGTGTTTAAAAGTATTTTAAACCTAATGGCAGAATTTCTGTGGTGTATGGGAGGGAGAGAGGCTGAGGATGGAACCCCGTGGCTGTGGTGGGCCATGTCCAGCCCTCACCCAGGGGCAGGTGTGAGTGGCCATGTGCCCTGCTGAAAGGCTCTCTGGAGCTCTTTGCATGCACGTGTGAAGTCCATACAGCCTGAGAAAATCTAAAATTGTTACAATTTCTACCTGCATTTCTTCTGGAGAATGGCAACCTGGGTTTAGAGTGGTGCAGCTCTTTTATCTCACACTCCTCAGACATCTCCCAGCTATTCCAGTTTTGGAATTGGTTATGTTAATCCAGGCAGTCAATAGATGGCAAAGCACTCCTCTTACATTCTTCAGGTTCATTTTTCTCACAGCCAGGAAGACAAATGGACATGGTTAGAAAGCTGGCTCTCACTGTACATTCTGCCAGGCAAGGCACGGGGGCCATGCTTGAAGCTCTGCAGCAATAGCTCTGTACATGTTCCTAGCCAAGCAGACCACGTTCACTGCTGTATTTCTCAACAGCTCATTGGTCCAACAGCTGAAATATATTGTTTTAAATAAGCAGCCTGAGATATAGGGATGCCCTTCCTATGGACACACCTCCCTGCTATTCTACAAGTGTACACAAAGTGTTGCAGGATGCATGGAAGACCAACTGTGGCGCTGTGCAGCAGCAGAAAATGATGGCATCTGTAATTGTCACACGCTGTAGTCACCAGAGTCACTGCTCAGCTCCTTCCACAACGCAGTTTATGGACTCTGCTTGTCACCCCTGAAAGACAGGAAGGATTTTTTCCTTTCCTCTAGCCAGGGGAACTAAGAGTTAAACAGTTTGAACTCAAGCCTCAGTGCTGTGCTAATAACTCTGCTCAGTTTGTAGGCAAAGGATGTTTTAGTGGAGGCTTTCTTATTAATATCCAAGGAAATTTGTTGCAAATCACATTAACATTTTGTATTTGCTTTTCCTTCTCTTTTATGTTTTGGGTTTGGTTTTTTTATTTTAGATTTTAATAATGAGTAAAACCTTCCACACAGAAGCAGCCTGGTCTGGCAGTGCCATCAGAAGACACTATGAGCTCTGCCCAATGATGGCATTTTGATTTTGGCTGGCCACATCTCCCCTGCCGCACCAGCCACTTTTTCCCTGCTGTCCCAAACCTGAGCCCTGCCTTGGCTTGCTCTACTGCTTCAGCAGCAGCCCCACAGCCAGGCAGGCAGAGGCACAGCCCTGCTCCCCAGCAACCCCAACCCCACAGCCTGCTCTGGCAGGGATTCTGGCTGTGTGCTTGTCACATTCAGCTGCCTGGCCAAAGGGTGTCTAATTATGGGACACAGAAGGGTCAGTGATTTCTAACCCAAAGTTATCTGTGCACAGCAATTCCCATGACTCCTCCAAGTCAGATTTTTTAGGCCGGTTGCTTTGTGTTTGTGTGGCAAGGGCATGGTGGTGGTGGGGAGGTGGCTATAAGGGTGACTTCTCCCAGAAGGTGCCAGAAGCTTCCCCTGTGCCATGGCTTCCAGCTGGCTTCCAGACAGATCCACTGCTGGCCAAGGCTGAGCCCATCAGGGACAGCAGCAGCACCTCTGGGATGACAGAGTTAAGAAGGGAGGAAAAACCTGCACAACTGCAGGCAGACAGAGAGGTGAAGATATGGGAGAGGAACAACTCTGCAGATATCAAGATCACAGAAGGAAGAGGAAGAGGTGCTCTGGGTGCCAGAGGAGAGATTCCCCTGCAGCCCATGATGAGGCAGCTGTGCCCCTGCAGCCCATGGAGGTCCATTTGGAGCAGAGATCCGCCTGCAATCAGTGGAGGACCCCACACTGAAGCAGGGTGATGCCTTAAGAAGGGTTTGGAGACCACCACTGAAACAGGCTCCTGGCAGGACTTTTGATCCCTCAGGGAACCCATGCTGGATGAAGTGCAGCCCATGGAAAAATTCACATTGGAGAAGTTTTTGGGGAGCTGTCTTGTGGGAAGGACCCCATGCTGGAGCAGGGGAGGAGTGTGAGGGGTTCTGCCCCTGAGGAGGAAGGAGCAGCAGCAGCAACATGTGATGAACTCACTGTAACCTCCATTCCCATCCCCCTGTGATGGTGGATAGGACAAGCTAGAGATGTCAGGAGGGAAGTTGAGCCTAGAAAGAAGGGAGGGGTAGGTGAAAGGTGGTTGTAAATGTTCGGTTTTATTTCTTATTATCCTGCTCTGATTAGTTTGAAAATAAATTAAACTTATTTCCCCAAGTCGAGTCTGTTTTGCCTGTGACAGTAAAACTGCTGAGTGATCTCTCCCTGCCCTTGTCTTGAGCCATGATCCTCTCATTATATACTCTCCCTGGAGAGAGAGGAGTGACAGAGCAGCTTTGGTGAGCCCTTGGCATGCAGCCAGAGCCAAACCCACCACACTAGTGCAGAAAGGCACAAAAACACTTTTTGGTCGAGTCAGCAGCCTGGAGTGTCCTGTCCCCGCAGCGGTGGTGCCGCAGGGGGCTCAGTGAGGAGCAGCTGGGCTCACATCAGCCCCAGCAGCTGGTGCAGCAGCGGCACGAGCACGGTGGCCGTGAAGCCAACGCAGGAGTACGTCACAAACTTGTAGGGCACCTCAACCTCCAGGCGCCTCCGGGCCTGCAGGTCACCCATGGGGAACTGGTAGCGATAGCCCAGCACGCCCAGCACCGCGCTCTTCGTGAGCCAGCGGGTCAGCAGCACAACCAAGATCCCTGTGAAGAACCTGGCCAGCACAAACACCACTGCACTGCTGGCCAGAGGAAGCCCAGGCTGAGTACTCGTGCCAGGGTGGGCTAGAGCAGCATACTGGTTGTTTAACCAAAATCCCACAGTTGCTCCAGCTGCTGCTCCTAAGATGGTAGTGGTGTCTCCCCTGGTAGGGCTGTAATAGTCTAGTTTGGGGTAGTTGTAGCATAAGACAAGAGGCACAACTATGGAAACCAATGGGCAGAAGGGGCTGGTCAACAGCAAGTGATCTATTGTGTCCCACGCAGGATACAAGAGCACGAGCAGCACGGCCGAAATCAGTGCTCCTCCAATCACATCCTGTAAAGAAATCACATTGAAAAGCCTTTGTGAGACCTGGAAGGCAAACCAGGTGTTTGGGTGATGATAAAAGACCACCAGTATCTGCATTGGTGGGGCCCAGCAGTGGAGGAACACCCAGAATCCAGTGATGGCACTATCCACCTGCAGGGAAAACCTGAAGCACAGGCTAAACAAAGCATGACAATCCACAAACCCAACCTCAGCTTATGCATATGCATGTGTCTGTGGACACACATCCTCCTCCTCACCTGCTCCCATGTTTTGAGGGCATTCTCCACCTATGACCTGGGAAAAGGCACGTGCACAACTCCATCTCACGGACAACATTGCAGAGACCTGCCCTCACACAAACCCTCTGCCTCCTGGTAACCCTGCAAGCAATTTCATCACATCAGTGTGATTCTCCCTTGCTTGCTTTGCATGAAGGGGGAGATGCTGTCCTTTGTCAGAGACAGGCTCCCATCCCAGGAACACAAGCTCCAGGGATGGAAAGTGCAGAGCTGTGGGACATGGTGCGTGTGCCATGGTTTCTGCCAGCAGTGGGAGGGAGGCACCTCCAGGCAGGGATACAGCAAGGAGAAATTCATTGCCCAAGTCTCTGAAATCTGGCTTTCAGTACACCGCCTCAAGCAAGCATATAGTTAAACCCTAATTTATTAACAGAGGCAAATAAGGTGTTTTGAGAACTTGATTGCTGTCAGCCACGAAGCTGAGACAGGAGGCAGCCCCTAACAAAAGCCCTCTGTATGGGAGCAGCCAGGTAAAAAGCAATAAAACAAGTTTCCCTGTGCCACCCTTCCAGTGTCACATAGAGGCAGCAGTGTTAGTACAGCCACAAAAAGCTGTGCAAAAGCTGAAGTTAGGCACAGACAGAAATGTTCTCTTCTAAGATTGTATCTTCATGAGTCATGACAGCTGACTACTACTATGCTTGGTCACAGTCTAAAAATTATTTATGGGTGCTTCACTTTGAGTTAGGCAGGAATGAGGGGACTTCTTCAGAACAGAAATATTTAATGACACTATGGTAAATACATTACTCCTGTAGGGCTGAACTTCAGCTGTTTACAACTTCCATTAGATTCACAGCACATTTAGTTTTAAACAACTCCTACAGCCATTTTGCATATCCCTAATACAAATTTCCATTTATTCCCTCATCCAAAACATGAGGCCAGCCAGCCATGGAAATACACAAACCTGATCATAGATACCTAGTACTGTAAAATACCATTATATTATATACCTTTGCTTCACAGTAATTCATGTTTGATGTAAATTCTTAGATGACACCTTTACATACAAAGCTTATTTTGGCCCAACACTAAGCAACTGCCTCAATACAAAAGAGCTGGAGGCTGCTCCCAGCACTGATGTTCAGAAATCCCATCCCCACTCTGTACATCAATTTCCCACACAGATGTTTGTCCACCTCATGTTAAAAGGAAAAGTCCTCACTACCACTCTATGAGTGATCAAGGAGCAAAACTCAAAAGCTGTTCACATGCTTTTCTGTTCCAATTAAAGAAATTTAACCAAACATTAACATTTTCTCACAAAAGCTTTGCTCAGATGTACCCAGCTGATTCCAGCAGTTCCCAACCCAATTGCAAACAGCTCCTATTTACAAACCTGATTAAAGTTTTCTGCATTTTGTTATCCTCCCTTTCAGCCCCAGTACAGTAACGTGGCTCTTGGAAGTTTCAAGCAGGACCCAGACAATCAGCTCTGACCAGTGGCATTGTACCCATGGTCTCCAAACTGGGTGCACAAAGCAACCCATGGGGCTGGGGGGGAGAACATACTTTTTGCACTGCTCATAAGTAAAATAAAACGTGCATTTTAAAGAAGTAATGCTTATCTCATCATTACATTTGTTAATTTTGTGTGTTTTATAATGCATGTATCAGTACAGTAGCACATGTATATAATTTCTAAGTAAGCATATATATATAAACATATATATGTATCAGTACGGCAGTACATGTATACTACGTATATTTATTTATTTATTTACTCTGTTTTTCCCCCATCCATCAATATCTGGGCTTCTCATTTTGGAAACTCCTCCCTAGAAGCTGCTGGAGACTCAGGACATGCCTGGCAGTCTGTGGTGGTCCCTTCATTCCCGGTGTGCATGGGCAGGTTTGATTTTTTGAACACCCAGAGGAGGTGGGCAAGATCCATATCAACACCTACATTTAGCAATGCAGAATGAATGATGTCTCCCCTTGCCTTTACAGCTAAGGACAAGATGGCAAGAGGAGGGATGGCTCCGATTTCTGCGAGAACTCTGCAGACCCTCCCTGCCGTGCCCCCGGAGCAGGAGCTGAGTTTTCCCGGGTGTGGAGCTGCTCTTAGCACGCCCAGGAAGCGCATTCCTGCCCGTCTGCCTGTGTAAACAGATTAGCCTCTCGCCAAGCCCTCAATTATAAAGGAATTTTTAAATAAGGATTTTGCTCAAGGTGCAGAACTACCTGCAGAATTTAAAACCTCCGGTTGCTGGGAGGTTCATCCATCCTGCTGGGATGCTCCAGCTGCTTTGGCACAGACGAGTCATCCCCAGGCTCCATCTACCCCCCCTGAAGCCCCTCCGCTGGCATGCAGCTCAGCCCTGCTCCCACACAGCCCCAAACATCTGCCCTGCTTCCCTGCTATTGCCAATCCGAGCAGAAACAGCAATTTTCCTATTCTGTCTGGTATAGGGTCCCTTACTGCCTGCATCCCCTTACATTTCATTTACTGTGAGAGACCACCTATGCTCCTAAACTCCACTCCTAAGGACTGTGATACACAGTGTGTGAAGTACTGGGACTACGTTGGGTGTTCATCACCTTTAAAATATCTAAGATCATTTCAGGATTAATGGTAGTATGAAAAACCCTGAAATACAGCCCAGCATAGGGGCAGGGGGGAGCTTCAGAACACACACCCCCACCTCCCCCTGTGGGAAGTGTAATCAGAAATAAATGCATCAGCACTAAATGGGTATATCTCAGGGGGGAAAAAGCCCTTCAGGGTTTTTTGGTTATAAAGAGTGACCATGCTGGTCAGCACAGGACATTGTTGCTTGTAGCTCAGGGCAGTTGCAGGGCCAGCAAGGTTCTCCCCACATCAGCTATGGCTTTGGAGGGAATGGCTCATATCATCTCCAATTGCTTCTTGTTTCTCAAAAATAACCTCTAAAACCTTACAGATTCCCTGATTCAAAGTGTGTCCAAATTTTTACTTTTTTTTTTCTTACTTTGCCTTTTCCAGGTAACTCCAGATCCCCTGTTTACTAGGTTCTCAGACTCCATCATTTGAAACCTACAAAAAAAAGGAACCCTGCATTTCCCCTCCTTTTCCACACACAGGGACACTGATGTTGAGGTGCTGGAGATGGGTGGTTGTAACTCAATTGTCTGTCAGCAGTCTGAGTGCATTGCTGCCACCCCATCCTCTGGCTGGGTGATGCTCTCCTGGTAACAGCCCAGGCCAGGGGTGTTTGTTCCCTTTTTCCTGGGCATAATATTCATTCTGGCACAGCTGGAAGGATGCAGATAGCTCCCATACCAGCTGACTGCCTCTCCAGGAGGTCTTTAATGGTAATATCTCTTCTAATGACATCACTGCACTTTCTGATACCACTCCTCATTCAAAAGCAAGGCCAGCAGTGCTAGAATACAAACAGATTTGTAGAGCTGAGACTACAGAAGGTGAGATTCTGTACTGGACCTGCAGGAAAGCACAGTGCAACTGCCCTTGTCACTCCTCCTCTGGTTCCTCAAACAGAAAAAATTCAGTCACACCAAGTCCATGGATATTTGTTACCCATTCCTTTGCTTTACTAAAATGCTATGACCACTTAATACATTATTCCATCCTTTCTGTCAAGGCCTCAGTTAAAACCCCAGAGGCTCTTTCAGCTGATGGCTTGGCACTGCTATGCCTCAGCATGGTGACATGACAGCTCAGGGCAGGAGCTGTCCCACCAAAGGATACAAACAGCTCTGAACTTCTTCCCCAAAGAGCCATCGCTGCAGGTGGCACAGCAGAGCCATTCTCTGTGGTGACAAGCTGCAGCAGAGAGGGGCTGTGTGTGATCACTGGGCCTTTCCCAGCCCCATCCCCACCATGGCTCACACAGGATAAAGACCCCAGCCAAACACATTTGCCCTTTTGGAAGGCAGCATTGCTCACACTTCAGCTAAGAAGCTTTTTTAAAAAAAATTTTATTTTACAGCCCTTTTCTATCATGTCAAAAGCACAAAGAACTTTTTCTTCTTTACCCTAAAATCCATCTAAATTTAGAAGGGTCTTTCATTGTGATGGGCCAGCAAGAAAAGTATGCAAAGAATTTTTACTGATTGACTTAAGGTCAGTATCCCAGAAGGGGTGTCTGCAGCCTCCATGTTAGATATTGTTTTGATCCACTGGGACTGAAAGGGAAGGTCAAGCTATATTTTATAGCTAACCTTAATCTCATGAGGGCTCCCTTTCTTACAGCCATCAAGTCTCATTATAAACCTAATTATTACTTAGTAAAAAAGATTCAATTATTTATGCATATGCAACCAACAACATATCAAACTCCTGTGAGGAAATAGCCTGAAGTTTTTATCCATATTTGGGAAGCTGGACTGCCCATCTGTCCACTGTATAGAACAGATCAATAAAGTTTCCTCTGGTCAGGAATGAAGCAGCTATCACAGGCACACTGAAATTAGCTCCTAAAGCAGCACCGACGTCTCTAAGCAACTGCGCCCAACAAGTCTGTCATATAAAATCGCAGCTATTTTATAATTATTTTCAGACAAACTATTTGTGCATCTCAGTCCCTTGGGAAGCATTTCCTTCCAGCTGAAAAGAAGAAACCTGTCATTTCTGGGTGCCTGCCCGCTGACAGGAGCCCTGCTGCGGCCGGCCCTCAGGGCAGCTCGCTGGCCACGCTTGAGCCGTGACTCACGGGGCTGCAATCCCTGCTGCCGGCACTCCCAGGCTGAGCCAGCCCCGGCTATTCTCGCTGAAAACAGCGATACTATTGCACAAAGGCCTTTGCCAAGGAGCAGCGTGGTTACCCAAGAGCATTCCTCGCAATTAAACTTTCGAAATGGAGAGCTCCATTGAGGTGCCAGGCAGGGCTCACCCGGCTCGGCCCAGGCGCTGCGGCCTCCCCGCGCTGGAATCACCCCATGCGGACTCCAATTGCGATAGCCAGAGGGATTCCCGCAGCTCCCCTCGGTGCACAGCCCCAAACCCAGCGGCACAGCTGTCTGTCCCTGTGCTGGCACGGCCACCAGCCTGGGGAGCTGCAGGGAAGCAGAGCTGGAGGCACATCCTTACCAGGACTGTGTGCATCCCTGTGTAGAGCCTGCTCAGGCACACCAACGTCGAGAACACGAACGCTGCTGCGAGGCCGAGCTCAAATGGATACTGTGAAAAGTGGAAAAAATAATTAAATACATCGTTAAACCAAGCAGCTGGACTGACATAAGGATCTTGTGCTGGAAAGGGGCTCCTGAGCTCTGCTTTCCCCAGGAGATGAATGTGACCTGAGACAAGGCCCCCTCAACCAACACTCAACCCTGCTGGAAGGTCACTTCATCCTCTGCAAGGTCTGGTCTCTCTGTGGAGACATCTGGGTATAGATGGTATTTGCAGAATCATTCTCTACAATAACTATCTGCAAACCCCATGTTAGTGTTAAAGAGCTTAAGGAAAAAGGCACAGCATGTTGTACAAGGCATGGCTGAGGCAGCACTGCAGCCTGAGCTCAGCCAAGGGGACGGTGACAGCTGCAGAGTGTGACCAGGAGTGTGATCAATAGTGCTCGAGCAGCAGGCTGAGTGGGGAGAATCAATGTCTGGCCTGAAACCACAATCCAGCTATTAAAGCAGTCAGGACCACTCTTCCCCGTGACACTTAAAGGTTTAATTATCTTCTTATGAAGCTCATTTTGCCTAATACCCCCTCTGAATAGCCTAAAAACATGGAAAGAACCATTTAAACAAATCAACATTAAAAAATTTTAAAAAGCTCCATTTGGTAAAGAATAAGCTTAACATATTAGCCCTTAATTCACTCATTCAAACCCTGAAACTGAGTGGGCTGCTGGACTCCTTTCAGTCCATAAGGGAGATTTTTCTTTAAAGAGTAAACCAACTCAAAATATAAATAAATGCAATTAATTCATCCAATTTGACACAAAGTCTCTATCTTCTGCCTGAGGCTTATGACTGACCAGGGTGGCCACAGGTCAGCACAAAAATGCCTCTGTGGAAATTCTAAGCATAACAGTTCTCTTCTGACCCTTTCCTCTGGCATATTCCAGCCTGCTGAATAAAGAGCTCAGACCCAGCTGCAGATGTCACTCCCAGTTCATAAAACACTATTTTTCCTCATGTCTCTAAGCCTTTGGAGCATTTGCACCCACTTGACTCCTCCCTCAGCAGGCAGCCTTCAAGCTAGTCCAGATCAGTAATTGATGATTATTAGGGCATGTTGAGAAGATAGCAGCATAATGTACTGGGAAATTTTTCCATCTTAATAGAGGCAATTAAACCATTTAATTATTTGAGAGCAGCTTTATAGTTTCATGGCAGTTTCCAGGAAGCACAAGACAGCCTGTGAAGAGCTGCATGTCCCTCTGGTCACTTGTGGATTGAGGGGAAGGTGATGCTGACCAGGTCATCTTGGCAGCCCTGACACATGGGATGGATCTGGCTTCCAAACATATGACAATATTATTATATTACAAATATTCCCTCTTATGGCTCCTTGTCCCCATGTCACTGTCAAGCTGCCCTGACCAGTTACCACACATGGGTTTATCCTTTGAGAGAGCTGAGAAACATTCTTAAATACAATGCAGCCAGGAAGTTATTATTGCTAGAGTACAGGAAACACAGGCTTGGATTCATTAAATGGAATGAAAATAATCATCATGGAGAAATGAGTTTCCAGGAAATAAACATTTTAGGAAGATGATGAGGAAAAATGATGAGACTTCCCTAAGCAGCCTGCAGCTCCTACAGTGCAGTGAAGTTGCTGTTACTCCTCTGACAAGCGTGTTGTGTTACTCCTCTTCCCAATCATGTTGTGTGCTGTTAGTCTAACACAGGCCAGGGGATTTCCAGGAATGCTTTTCCTTTCATACAGAAACCATGTGGCACAGAGCTGCTTTGGTTTCCCTGGGAGCCAGCCTGTCCCAGTGTGCAGCACTGACTTGGTGGGCGTGGGGTGAACACAAAATGCTGGCTGCCAGGCACCTTCCCTGCATGGTCACCCACATGCAAAAACACAGTGACCCCACCAAACTACAGCAGGGCAGTGCAGCCTGCCAGCAGCTCTGAGAGGAGTCCATGCACAAAAAAGGACATTAACACTAAATTTCTTTTTGTGTCTATTATTGACCAGCTACAGGTAAGCACAGGGAAGAATACACATGTGTGAAAATAAATACAGAACTCCTCTGGAAGTAGCAACATTTTTGGATTTGCAAGCTTTATGTGGCTTGCTGGAAGCAAGCCTTTTCTTTTCTTAATGTATTTTCTTTTTCTTCTTCTGTTTTTTCTTTTTGTACCCCTACCTTGTACTGGTTCATGGTTGCAATGAAGAAGGAGAAGGAGATGGCTGTAGCTGCCATGGCGTGGGTGGATGGCATCCCATACTCTGCATTCGTCCTCATCTCCAGCTTCACCACAGGTGGTGACAGGGGCCGAGGCCACTTCAGGATGTCCTTGGAGACCTGGCCTATGTACATCACTATCTGGGGACAGCAAAGGCCACAGGCTGTCAGTCAGCACAGGCAATCCCCATGCAGCCCACCCAACAACCACCTGTATTTCTGCGCTTTTTCCTGCAGAATCCAGCCCTCCAAGTGGAGAATTTATCCCCTGAATTATTAAAGGGGTTTCCATTAGCTCAGCCAGCGAAGGAAGTGGTGGTTTTGCTGCACTCTGTGGTAACCTGAGCAGGAGTGGGACCAAAAGGAGGGTTGGCTGATGAGATTCAGCAATACAGGACACTGAGACAGACAGCTGGCTCCCACCCCATGCCAGAGAAGTTTAAGTTTTCTCCCTATCCCTTACAGCCCCTCTCCTGCAAAGAAAGCAGCCATAAGAGAAATTTTTCCACCCCACCTTCAAATCACAGCTGTGTCCAGCCCCAGCTCCCCCATGCCCAGCAGCTCCCAGTCACCCAGAGCTGCAGGAGCCCTGCTGGGACACAGCACCCCTGTGGTTATTAAATGACAGCCTCAGCATCCTCACAGAGGCAGCAGAGGGAAAACTGGACAGGCAACAAGAGCTACCAGTTCTCCTGCCTAACTCCCCAGTAAAAGGCTTCTATTCCCTGCTTGGAACACCACAGGTTTAGGCAAGGGCTTCATTAATTCGCTCCAGAGCACAGCACCACAGTACTTTTAGGGGAAATGTCACATTCTCAGGTCAGCAAGGGAAGCAGAGGCAAGGGGCAATGCTGTCCAGCATCCCTGAGAGGTGCTGCCCATCCAGCCATGGGCATCCTTGGCTCCTCAGCACCCTCTTCCCAAAGGCAGTAGGCTCTCAGCATCCACAGTGAGGACATTTGAGAAAAGTTAACCAGGCTGTCCCTGTAGGATGTATTTGCTTTCTGTTGTAGCCCTCCTCCCTTTACATAATGTAGCCACATATAGGCAGGGGAGACTTTTTAAAACAAAGCCAAGCAAACCTTTTTTCATTTTTTTTCCTTAGTACAAAAATCAGGTTAACTACCATGAAAGCTCAGTTGCTGTGTGAGACAGCTCACACTTCTGCTTCTCATGCTTCCACCAGCAAAGGAGGGGGCTTAAAATAACATCCTTCCCTTGCTACTGGTGTTGGCCATATGCTGGAACAGCAACACAATCACCCACTGCCACATTTGTCACCAGGCACACTGCATCCCCCTCTCTCCCATCAGCCATTTTAAAAATGGTTTCACATTAAAAGAAAGATGACAGGATTCAGGATTCACAAGTCAGGACCAGGAAAAAGCCAGTCATTCCTTCATCCTTCTCTCTACAGTACAGACATGCCAGAGAGTGCTAGACTTACAGCCAGCACCAGGGCCTGGAAAAGTGACTGCTGGTGCCTTTGCATCCTTTATCCCTCATCATGTGAATCACATCACTGCCTCATTATCAGCAGGTGGGACACACCTGGCTGCTCCTGTGGACACACACAGCACAGGCAAGGCAGTGAATAACCTGTCCCACACTGTGCACAGTAAACAAACACTCAAGGAACAAACATCTTTTAAAAACCTACTGTGTGGGTTTATTTAGTTAATGCCTTCAGTTTCCAAATGGATGCAGGCAGATGTTTGGAAGTTAATTAAATTCCAAGGTTGAAAGAAAAATTGCTCTCTCGGGCAGAACATAAAACATTGAGGCTGCCATTTGTGATACCATCTGAGAGGCAAGGTAGGATGAGCCAGTTTATCAGCACTCCTCTATAATAATGACTTCCACTTGTGGAAGTATTATTAGCACTAGAACATAAGAGCATTGCAGAAAAGGAAATGAGTCATCTCAAAAATGAAGGCTATGCTAGGACTCCTGTGATGGTGAAAAACAGACTGAATGTTGGAGGTGGGATGGGTAAGTGAAAATATCAGGCATCCTCGCAACACCCTCCCCTTCCTGGCATCCCGGATTAAAGTCTGGCCCTTCTACTTTTTGGAAACAAATTGTATAGGCAGTAAGGAGAGGTGAGACGACTTTCATAGAACATGCAGGGGACTCCAGAATATGCCCACACTAAGCACTGATCTCTGAAGCACCACACCTTTGCCTTTAGCTCATTTGGGTACCGTGCACATGACTTTACACACATTATCCTGAATTATGGCATAGTGGGTGGGGTAAAACACCCCCCAGCAGCTGAACTGGCAGGCTGCCCAAGAGAATGAACAGCAGGTGCACATTGCTAAAGGCCACCCTGCACAGGTGGGGCTGTGTCACCTGCACCCTATGGGCTGCAGGGGCTGGGGGACACAGCTCTGTGCAGGCTGCAGGGGCTGGGGGAGCACAGAACTGCCCAGGCTGCAGGGTCACAGCACTGTCCAGGCTCTGCCCAGGCTCTTTGCTCACAGCACAGCAAAGCAAACAGAGCTCCTGGCAGAGCTGCCTGGCCCAGGCAGTGGGCGCCCTCCCTGCGGACAGCCCCATGCAGGAGTGGCACTAGTGGGACCCAGTGGGCAGTGCCCACCCCTGCCCTTCTCTCATGCACATCAGTATTTTCCCAATGCAGTGGAAATGGCTCTGAACTCTGCCAGGTTAAATCCTTGCAAAAAATTTAAGCAGCAATAAAAAACAAACAAAAAAAACCTCCAAAACCATAAGCAACTTAAAACCAAGACCTTGCTCAGACTCAGGTGCCTACCACTACAGCTCGGCTGGCCTGTGCTAAGGGCAATAGCAACCCTTTACAGCAAGCCAGGACTCCAGGTGAAGCAAAGGCAAGGCTTTATTGCCACTTTGGGTGAAGAGCATTGCATTTTACTACACAAAGGCAATTGGCAGTTGCTATAGCAGCAAGACAGCCTCTGTAGTCTTTTTCTGAGAGCTTCCTCTTCATTTGCTCTGAGTCATATATATGGTCTATCTCCAAAAATACTTCTTCACCTGAGCATTTGCATCAGGATAAACAAGACAAACCTATCTTTGTATTTGAACAGATTTTGCTTCAGTGAACAGCTGCAGAACCAAATTTGAGGCATTAGCATCCACACAGGTGTGGATACCTCTTCATTTGTTCTAACATCTGCAGGAGATCCCTCTGGGGTGAGGGGCTGCTCTCCTCCTTCTGAGCACCTGAGTGCCATGAAGTGACCTGTTTCCCTGACATTCCCATGCCTCTGGTGTGTAAGTCAACCATGTAAGAGGAGTTTTTTTATCACCTGCAGGTGTTGTCCAGCATTTGCAATGGTTTCCCCTCACTCCTCACATGCATCACTCCCATGACAGGAAGCAAGAGCTCTGGAGGCAGATTTACCACCACAGTGCAGACTCACAGTGCAGGCAGACACAACTAAGCCCTGTGCAGAGGTGTGGCAGCACTGCCACAGAGTGCAATTTCCCCTGTGGAAAATTCCTGTGGCAACTGCCCAGACTCCAGCCCTGGCAGGATGGAGAAAACATGCTCAGTGCTGCAGGTGGGCTGTGTGTGACATCCTCCTTCATCCCTGCCCTGCTACAACCCCTGCACAGGATGGACACACCTGAGCCTCCCACTGGCATATGAAGGTCAGGAGGAGCAATTCTTTTTTTATTCTGAAATATTTCAGCTAACAGAGGGGAACCAGATCATATTTGTTTTCAGCTTCTGATTTTGCAGCTGTCCTTATCTTCATTATTGATCTGTTAAAAGGACAAGACAAAATTCTAGAGAAGACATATGGTCAAATAGCATTGGCAGTTTCTTTCCTGAGACTCACAGTGTGGCAGTCTGACTTTGAATCTGCTGGTTTAGCTCCAAAACAGAAACTCTATAACCTGGCTCTAGAAACTCTGGTCTGCAGTAGTATATGTCATCTTCCCAGAAAGGAAATTTACAGTTTGAAAATGATGTTACTTTGGGTTTCTTTCACAAGCACTGTGCACTGATAGGACTGACCAAGCATATTGAAGAAAAAAAAGAAAGATGCACTATTAATAAACATTTGCAGATTAGTCAAGCAGCAGTAAAGACTGCATGTGGTTGCTGAGGCAGGCGTGACTTTGATTTCCCATACAGAAATTAAGCTAAGCACCCAGCCTGCACTGTCCTGTTCTCAGCCTCCCCCTAGTTTATCTGGATAAACACTGCAGCAGATTCTGGCTGTGACTGTGTCCCTCAGGCATCACTTGGTTCAGAGGGGAAGAGGAGCAGGGCAAGGAAAAGCCTGTCCTTGTGGAGGTAGTTCTCCTGCCCCCAGTCAATGCCAAGAGCTAAGGCTTGACTCCAGGAAAGCACACCATGGAAGTCACTGAGCAGCCCTGCTGGCCCCTTGCCCTGGCAGCAGCCCAGCTGGAGGAAGCCCTGCAGGGCAGAGGAGCCCCAGACAGCACCAGCCTGGGGCCCTAAGCCACCCTCAGACTGTGTCCTGCTCCCCATCCCCTCCTGAAGCACCGGGCTGCTCCCCACGTGCCAACCCCAGCAGCAGGGATGGGACCCTCCTCGAGGTACACACACCCTGAGAGAGGGCAGCTGGCTCTCCTGGAGCTCCACACACCCTGAGAGAGGGCAGCTGGCTCTCCTGGAGCTCCACACACCCTGGGAGAGGGCAGCTGGCTCTCCTGGAGCTCCACACACCCTGAGAGAGGGCAGCTGGCTCTCCTGGAGCTCCACACACCCTGAGAGAGGGCAGCTGGCTCTCCTGGAGCTCCACACACCCTGAGAGAGGGCAGCTGGCTCTCCTGGAGCTCCACACACCCTGAGAGAGGGCAGCTGGCTCTCCTGGAGCTCCACACACCCTGGGAGAGGGCAGCTGGCTCTCCTGGAGCTCCACACACCCTGAGAGAGGGCAGCTGGCTCTCCTGGAGCTCCACACACCCTGGGAGAGGGCAGCTGGCTCTCCTGGAGCTCCACACACCCTGAGAGAGGGCAGCTGGCTCTCCTGGAGCTCCACACACCCTGGGAGAGGGCAGCTGGCTCTCCTGGAGCTCCACACACCTTGGCAGAGGGCAGCTGGCTCTCCTGGAGACCCACACACCCTGAGAGAGGGCAGCTGGCTCTCCTGGAGTTCCACACACCCTGAGAGAGGGCA